TTGACACAACATTGTAAAATGATTATAAATCAATAAAAAATGTTAAAAAAAGAAATGCTGGCTAAAATCTAAGGAAGTGCATAACTGAATTGGTAAGAAGAAAGAGACCTCTCCAAGGTCCAAAGCAAAGCAAGAGCTGAAAACCAAACTGGTAAGGATGAGAGCAGATGATGTAGCTATCCTGGGGGAGGGCTTAATCCCAATATCCTAGAATATTCTAGCATCTATTCAGTGTGGGAGGGGACTTCAGGAGGGCATGAACTCCAGAGGTGAGAATCACTGGGTGCCATCTTGAAGGCTGGATACCACTGGGCAAAGCACTAGACCAACTGAGTTGCTGGCCAATGACAAGAGAACATGGATTAGTGGGAAAAGAGAGAAGTCATAAATAACATAACCCGTTCTGTTAAGTTAGGACTATTGCCTTTACTTCTATTTCCTTCCTTACTGGATATTCTTTCTATTTTTTGAGGTATACCATCATAAGATAATAGAAAAAAAATTGTTCTCTGACCCTGGTTCCTAGCACAGAGCTTCTTAAACCCTTGTAATTTCCTAATTACAAGGAATTAATTAATTCCTAATTAATAAGAGCACTAGGAGCATCTCTTGTTCTAATACTTGGTCTTTGACCCCAGGTCCTGACACAGAGTTCCATGGAATTTCCTGGGTGATAGCAGTGCCTTTTCTTCTGATGAAGTCGGCTCCTGGATAGGGGCTGGTCACCAGAAAGACCAAGCGATGATTAGGAACTTGGAATTTTCAGCCCTATCCTCCATTCTCTAGAGAGAAAAGAGGGGCTGGAAATGGAGTTAATAATTGATCATCTATGTGATGAAGCTTCCATAAAAGTCCCAATTATATGAGGTTCGGATTGCTTCCAGGTCAGTGCACATGTGGAGGTCGGGGGAATGGCATGGAAGCTCTGTGCCCCTTCCCTCATGCCTTGCTCTATGCATCTCTTCTACCTGGATGTTCATCTGTGTCCTATTATAATAAACTGGTGAACAGTAAGCAAATAGTTTTCTTTTCTTTTCTTTGACAGAAAATTACATTTATTGACCGCTAAATATAATAAAACTAAGAGCTCTGCGCCACACGTTTTAAGAGGGCTTTAACCTTGTTCTCACTGCTATGCTCATTGAAGTCAGCGTGCATTTGTCTCTGTAGCCTCTGCGTCTGTTTTCTGGGCGGCTAAGGGGACTTCACGTGACTGTTTCCGTAGCAGCCTCTCAGTATTTGTGATCACCATGGGACGCAGAGGGAAAAAACCAGAAAGACCTAGAAGCTTTTCCACAGGCTTAGAGAGGTGGACCCTACAGCCAATCCAATGCCGGATCCAATCCAGGTTGAGAGCAACGAGCTTCTCTCCATGACTGTTGGGCAGTGTATCTTAAGAGCCCAGCTGCTCCATGAAATGGCCATCCCCAGGACACTTGTGAGCAGCCACGATGTGGTAGAAAGGCCAGTTGGTACAGCCACCCAGGGCAAGCAGATGGTTAAGTGGACTCCATAGGAGGCCTGGCAGAGGAGAGTAGTGAGCGGCACCGTGCTGCAGCCGGCGCCTGTGCACTAGTTGCCACGTCTTAGAGCTTCCTGGATCTGCTCGACCACCTAGGGTGGCGCCGACAAACCACAGGAAAGTCTACATAGCAGAGCCGCTGGGATCGCCCCTCTACAACCCCAGCCCGGACTTCTCGGTGCTGGAAGCCAATGCCAAACAGTTTTCTTGAGTCCTGTGAGCCACTCTAGCAAATCAATCAAACCGGAGGAGGAGATCGTGGGAACCTCCAATTGATAGCCATTTGGTCAGAAGCACAGGTGACAACCTGGACTTGAGTCAGTGGCTGAAGGTGTGTGTGGGGTGTGTGTGTGTGTGGTGTGTGTTGGGGAGGGGGCAGTCTTGTAGGACTGAGCCCTTAACTTGTGGGATCTGAAGCTACCTCCAGGTGGATGCTGTCAGAATTGAGTTAGATTGCAGGACACACAGCTAGCATCACAGAAGATTGCTTGTTGTGGGATAAGCCCCTCATATCTGGTGTCAGAAGTGCTGTGAGTGTGGTAGTGATGTGAGAGTAAAGGAGAGACCCAGGAGGAAGACTGGGTTTTTCCTTCTCAAGCTTACATAGAGTAATAGGCAGAAAGTCAGAGATGTTTTAAAAGTAACTATCCTTCTCTTTCCTTTTCACTTCCCCTAGAATTGTGTATGGTGTGAGCTGGTGATGATTAAATTTCTTATGTTGTCCACAAGTTGCAAAATATGGAGAGGGATCATGATGGAACCAGAGGAGAGATGGCGGCCATAACCAGACATGGGTTGTCTCCTTTCGGAAAGCGTTGAATTTTTTGTTTGCACGTGAAATAATTATGTTCGACAGAGGCATTTAAAAAAATTGTATGTGGTATGAAAAAAAGTGAGAGGACGTTGCTTGGCAACCCATGGTTGGAATGCAGAGGACATCTGTTGTTTTCCTCTCTCAGCATTCTATCTCCTTCTTTTGGAGAAGGCCTCCTCCCCCACCACACACTGGCTAGGTGGGGCTGTCAGTCACCGTTCTCTGCCCTTCCCTAGTCAGAGGATGCCATCCAATTCCAACTAGGCCTCTTGGAAGTGCTTTCTCTGGAAGAATGTTTTAGTGGGAGGACAGATCTTGAAGTTCATTCATTTTGGGGCAGCATCTTTATTGATCGCTTATTTTATCTTTTTTTTTTTTGATGGAGGAGGGACATAATTAGCTTTACTTATTTATTTTTAAAGGAGCAACTGGGGACTGAACCCAGGACCTCATGCACGCTAAGTATGTGCCCTACCACTTGAGCTATATACCCTCCTTTGTCTGAAGGGCCTTTCCCCCCACTATCAGTTAGCTCTTCATCCTTTCCACAAGCTTCCCTGCCAGGTTACTGTGGCCAAATGAATGTGAGGCAAGGACAATCCAGGTGAGTGAGGCTCCTGCCTTAACCACCTCTGCCTCTCTCGTGAGAGAGGAGGCTGGGCATCCCTGTTGGAGGCTCGTCTGAAGGGAGGTGGGCCAGGCTGAGCCTACCGCCCAGAAAACCAAGCCTGGCTGAAGGGACTTTTTATTCTTGTTACCCACATATCCAGAACTGCTCTGATTCCTAATTATCTTGCTACTTAACTGTCTAGATTGTCTTTTGATTTTTTGTGAATTTTCACATTTTCTTTCCATAAATTCTTTGAAGTTTCCTCTTAAATTAGCCAGAGTTGGTTTCTGTTGCTTGTAGCCAAAGAACTTTATTTAGTAGTTGATTCCTTAGCATTGAGCTCAGTTAGAAGGATCCTATAGCAAAAAGAACACTAAATTCAGTTAGTTTTGTAGCAAAGAGGTCCCGCAAATAAGATGATACTTAGTGATCCAGCTTTTTCAACACATACATGCAGCACTTTCCTCCCTAAGCCTACCTTCATAGAGTCTGGATTGGAAAAGTTTTCAGGAAGGGTACCTGTACTTGCTGATACCTTGTATTCAGAACCACTAGCTAGGATATGGCCTTAAAGGTCTTGCACCGCAAAAACCTCCAGGGAGTGCCATTCACATAGATTATGTTGTGAATGGTGTCCTTGGTGTTGTGTAGTGCAGCAACCTGTTACTCCCCTCTCAGAGTCCCGGTTGCTGGATTTGGCTTCTTGTGTCAGCCTCATACAACCTCCTTCTTCTCCTGAATTTTCCCTCAAGTGCACAGTTGAACTTCCCTGCAATCAGTCATGTCTAAACCAGTTCATCCGATGTGTCACAGATTTGTATGTATCTGGATCAAATAGTCGACAGAGATAAAGACTTTGTTTCTCAGGAGGTTCTTAGGAAATCAATCGATACACTGAATGTTTGTGTCCCCTCCCAAATTCATATGTTGAAGCCCTAAGCTCAGCATGGCTGTAATTGGAGATGGAGCCTCTAAAGAAAATTTAAAGTTAAATGAGATCATGAGGGTGGGTCCCTGATCCAATAGGATTACTGTCCTTATAAGAAGAGGCACCAGAGAACTCTGACTCTCTTTCTCCACACACAGACACTGAGGAAAGGCCATGTGAGGACACAGCAAGAAGGTGACTGTCTGCAAACCAGAAAGAGTCCTCACCAGAAACGGCATTGGCTGGCACCTTAATCTTAGACTTTCTAGCCTCTAGAGCTTGGGAAAATTAATTTCTGTTTTTTAAGTCACCCAGTCCGTTATGGAAGCACAAGCCAACCAAGACAGATTCACATAGACACATAAAGGTGGGTAGAAGGGTATTAATGAATTTCACTTATCAGAAACATTGACTTCAAAACTATGTCCAGTCAAGTCACATTGCTACATAAAGAAGATACAATGAGTGGATAGGGTGTCCTTTTTTTATTGTTGTTACAGAGGAGGACAGGTGAATGAAAAACATGGGAGAGAATAGGATCAATGCTTTCTGTGTTTTATGTTTTCTTCCATATACAATCTATAAATATCTTGTCACTATAGCAAAGTAATTATTACACCATACCACCACCACCACATAAACACATACACACACAAGAGTATTAGAATAGGAATGATATTAATTATCAGGAAAATGCAAATCAAAACAACAATGAAATACCACTTCAAACCCACTAGGATGGCTATAATAATTTAAGAAAAAGACAATAACAAGTTTTAGAGAAAATGTTGAGAAATGGGAACACTGATACATTGCTAGTGGGACTGTAAAATGGTGCAGCTATGGGAGAAAATAGTTTAGCAGTTTTCCCCAAAGTTAAACACAGAGTTACCATGTGACCCAGCAATTTTACCCTAGGTATACCCAAGAAAATTGAAAATGTATGTTCACACAAAAACTTGTACACAAGTGTTCATAGCAGCATTATTCCTAATAGCCAAAAAAAGTGGAAACAACCCCGATGTCCATCAACTGATGAATGAATAAACAAAATGTGCTATATCTATAAATGAAATACTATTCAGCCATAAAAAGAATGAGGTACTGACATATGCCACAACATGGATAAACCTCAAAAACAGCCTGCTTACTGAAAGAAGCCAGACACAAAAGGCTACATGTTGTATGATTCCATTTATATGAAATGTTCAGAACAGGCAAATTCACAGAGACAGAAAGTAGTTTAGTGGTTGTCAGATGCTGGGTGGGGGACACAGCTGTATGGGGCTTCTTTTTGGGGTGTGATGAAAATGTTTCAGAATTAGATAGTGGTGATGGTTGCAAACCCTCATAAATAGATTAAAAATGACTGAATCGTACACTTAGAAGTGTGAATTTTATGGTATGTGAATTATATCTCAATAAAGAAAATCAGAATAGATAACAAGTTGACTTCTATCCTTACAGATATTGGACAGTCAGTCATGTGGTAACACCATCCAACTTTGCGTTTTCTACCCAAATTTTAAGCAAGAAGGAATTACTCAGAGAATAAGGGGAAAGAGTTGATGATAAATTAAGAAACATTAATTTTAAGAATCTATATTGTATACAAGGCTAGTTATAAATGCAATATAAAATTCTACAAAATATAAGCAATATCTAAATGCATAATGTAAAAGGTTAGTCTCCTAAATCCTACTTTATCAGCTAACGTATGCTAGCAGTTTAACAAATCGTGACATCCCAAATGCCTCATAAAAGTTTTTTTTTACTTCAGAATTCCAAAGTAGGATTTTATCACTGATCAATAAATTGTACTCCTCTAAGCAATGATTCTGGGACCAAGTCTCCTTTCATCTTGTGTCTCCATCGTGAACACAGAGCCTCCAAAGTTGCCATAGAAGAAGAAATCATGGAGAATTGTCCACAATTCCCTTGGCCAGATTCCAGGCACACGACCATGCTTCTCTGAAAGGGAGTTTAAGAAATGTAAGCTAATGAGTGCCCAGGAGAAAGAGGAAAGAGATTTGTTGAATTGTTGATCAGTCTCTGTCACACCCACCCCATGGAGAACTCTGTTAACAGTTTACAGCAAAGTCCTCCGGCTTTCTTTGTATGCATGTATTAATATATAACAGTACTTTTTAATGGTAATGGAATCATACTATATATATATGGATACTATTCATGGTAGGCTGACTCAAATATAATCTACACTTATTTGCTATCCATATACAATTAGAATTTAGAAAGTGGATGGCTAATCCCAAGTGAAAAGAATTGAATGGGGGGGTTCATAGCTCTGTTGAGATTCATCTTCCTGTAGAGTTGCCTTCTGTACTCCTTCAATAAAAATTGACATTCTTTGGCTATCTGTTATTTTAATTTCAAACTTAGGTGCAGTTAATCATTTTCCTCATTTCAAGTCACACTATCATCATTGGTCCATGCAATGCTCCTCACATATATTTATATTCTGTTTCATTCCGTAACCTACTTCCTTTCCTACTCCATAGACAACCACCGTAATGTATTTAATACACATCTTTGTGTTTGTGTTCTTGAAAAATGTATATTGCTCTGTAACCACGTATTTTAAATTTGCATAT